AGGGAGACCGAACAACTTCTAATGCTGGTTTTGCACTCTGCAGACATAAAATAGCTTGAGGGATCAGGAGTAACTTTTCATTTATACCTTATTTATATCCAGCTCTATACCCAAGTGTATCTGAGCTGTTCATTTAGCTACTTAGACAGCCTGTGCAGAGGGGAGGGTCCCTTGAGGGCACAGTGCCCCCTACATATCCTGCAAGGCCCAGAGCTTTGTCTTTGGAACACTCTCTCCTCTGGGGACAGGAGTGCTGCACACAAGGCACAGTGCCACTCACCTTTACACTGGTAGCACTTAAAGACAAATTGCTACCTCTTCTGATTCCAAGAGAGGTTTATGGCCCCTGTCAGAAACCCAGGAAACTGATGCCTGAACATGGAAGTCCAAAGCCCATTCTCCAGCTGTCAGGGGCTGGAGTGAGTCACTGTGTCACTGCAGGACTCCATCTCTCAGCATCTTCAGCCAAGAATGGCAAGTGCTGTCTGGTCAGAAACTTGCAACACTGCCTTGCACCAAAGACAGTGCCAACCAAAGCTGGTGCTTACTGATTCAGGTTGTCCAGGCTGTGGTGCAGCAACAGACGGAGGGTGGTTGGACTTTTCCTCCTCTTTGGCCTCTTCTCCAGGAACAGAGGGAGACTGAGGAGGTGCTGATGTTTGGTTTGTGCTCTGTAGACAGACAGTAGCCAGAGAGATAGGGAGTTACCTCTCATTTATAAACTTATTTCTATTCAGCTGTATACTCAGCTGTACTAAGGAGAAATCATAAAATTTGATAGAAATGGGATTCTAAGTCATTAAAACTAAATTAAAATGGGCTAATTAGATGGTACTGCATATTGTTCTGAATTAGATGTTCCACCCTGGCTAGAATCAGAAAGCAACCTTCTGTCGGCAAAACTGGGCTTTTATCTTTTAAAAGCCTTTAAATGGAAAATAAGAAACAGCCAGCTACTGCTGCTGCAGACACTGAAATGGACTTTCTTTCAGCCTACTCAACTGGCCCTGTTGAGTAGGCACTCTACACTCTACTGTTACAGGCCAAGCTCATAGCTTGCCCCACAATTCTTTCAAACGCCAGGAACGTCAAGGGCTCTTTTCTCACTCACTGAAGGATCAGCTTCTCTCCATCCATATGTGAGGTGACCTGAAATGGGCACATGAAAATGAACCAGATGTTAAAAAACTGCCTGTGGTGGGAAATCCCATGGAACAAGTCAAGCCAAAAGGAGAGCATTTTCCTTTCACTACATCACTCCAGGAGCAAAAGTTCTTTCACACAGCAAGCAAGAGAACAGGACAGTGTCCTAGGCTGTGTCTACGTTTTGGCCTGTTTGGTCAGGTAATAAATAAGAAACTTGGTTAAGAAAATACAGATTTTTTTTAGCAGTCAATGCTTCTGCTCCACCCAACAGCTAAAGCAGCTTTTTTCTCATCTCTTGCCTATTACTTTTTTTAAAATAAATTGCATGCACTAATTCCCATTAGCTTGCTGAAAGCACTTGCCCAGAAAATCTTCCCCAAAATCCGCCTTAGCTGTGACAGTTCTACTCTGAAATAGCACAGAAACAGGTCCCGGGTTCAGGAGCATACACAAACTGTTTTGGAGTTTGCACTTCATTGCCAAGGGAATCGCTTTTTTAGCCCACAGTAAAGTGTCAAGCTAGAGAGTCAAATCCTTTAATGACAGAATTTAGAAAAAAAGAAGCTTTCCCACAGTTCTGGACAGAATAGCACAGTTTTTAGGAAGACTTTGGGAAGCTGTGCCAGTCTGCATTTTGGAAGGTGTTGATCAAACCAGCAAACTGAGAAATGACAGACTCCACTGCCACACACTATCCCGTGGAGGGAACAGAACCCCTGCAGGTTACATTTCAAATGCCATCCACACCCTGTGTCTAGAGATACTCCCTTTTTTAGGTGAAGCTGTTGACAGGAACTTTAGCAAACTAGTGGCATCTCAGTGGTGTTTTTGTTTTACAATCAATTCAGTCCCTTAAGGAAGAGCACAGCAATACAAAAGCCAGATTATGCTACACCCAGGAAAAACCTCTACTTACGTGCCAGATGGGTCAAATAATAGCCAGAATAACCCATAGAATAGACAGTGCAAACTGCAGCAGCGATTGGCTCAGCCATTTTAGCAGTGCTGTGCAAGTGCTGTGCTCCAAGAAGAGAATAAATGACACCTCTGTTCACTGAGAACACCTTGAGCAGGAGGATACTTCTGCAACATGCAAGCAAAGATTTGGTCTGATCACTGACGCCTTCTGTGCATCATTGACACCACGAAGACATGGCAACAATCCCTTGACATCACAATAGTAGCCTCTCTAAGTTGCTTTGTGAATTTATGCAGAGCAACAGGACAACAGCAAACACAAAAAGAGCCTGGAGAGTTCTGTTACAGAGCAGCACAAAATACCCTTGTATTTCAAAACCTGCTGCTCAAAGGTTCCAAGAGTAACTCAAACAATGCACCAAGCTCTTGTACTCTGTACCCCAAGCTGAACACTGAGAAGGAACCAGGATGTGACCAAACCAAAGGAAACATGACCTTTGACCGCTTATGCTTCTGACTAGAAATGAGAATGCTTGTTCCAGTAACCAACCCGCTGCACACATATCAACCTGTTGCTGCCTTGCTATGGCATCTCAAAGTAGCAGCTGGGGCCTGTGAGTCACCTCTGGGAGCTTTCCTGGGCTCATCTGTGAGCCGCAGGGATGGAGCTGGAATGGTCAGAAGGAAAGGAAACAAGAAATTTAAAACAGAATGTGGGAAAACTTAGAAGGTGGTGGTAGGAGGAAACCAGTGGGCCAAAATGGGCCAGTAGGAGGAAACCAGTGGGCTCCCATCAAAGGTGGGAGCTATGAGGCAGAGGCCAAAGAGATCAGGTGATCGGCAGGCCTCAGGCAAACAGCAAAACCACAACCATTCCAAAGTTTGATAGCATCCTTCCCCCTCCTCTTGCTTTGAAACCAGTTTTCTTCTCCCTCCTGAGATTAACAGCAGGTGGCTGGAAAAATCACCTGCAATTTCCTTTCTCAATAAAAATAAAAAGAATAGAGAGAGATCTGGGCTTTTGCCATGTGTCTAGTTTTGAAGCCATGTGTCTAGTTTTGAAGCCATGTTAGGATTTTTGAATAGCTCTACACAAGTTCTTTCCAAGCTTTGGGGGTTTTCCAGCTGCAGGACCACCACCGGTCAGTGCATGAGCCCACAAATTGCAGTGGAGAGAGCAGCTGGTCAAACTCAGACTGCGACTTCTGGGAGGTTGGGTATTGTCCTAACGCAAATGCTCTGTGTATGTCAGGCTGAAAGTTGGGACAATCCTCAAGAAATGCTTGATTAAATGCATGTGACGTGCAACTTCTTTGGATCTACAGCCATAACTTTTTCCACTTACTAATATCATAACCTTAGAGCTTTAAAATTGCAGTGGGAGACTGAATTTTCTTCTAGATTGGGGATCAGGAAATGGTTGCAAAGACACATGCCTTAGAAAAAACACTCCCAAAGCCCTGCTAATCACACATCATCCTTCGTTCAGAAAATGCACTGTTTCTTCAAACTAAAAGAACAGAAAATTCTAGCAACCTGCTCACATACAGCAGTTTGCAACCCATTCTATTCCCTGCTTTCTAAGTTGTACTTCTTAGCATATGTGGTTGCTCCAAGGCACAGTGAAATGGAGACAGAACATCCACTCGGGAGGAACAACATGGCTTTGTGCTCCAGCCTGAAAGTTGGAACTCAGGAGTCCATGCAACAGTGCTTTGAGATGGAACGAACAGCAACCAGGGAACGCAGCTGGGGGTGACTGCTGGAGGTCAGCAAATGGCCCAATGAATTGCACAGAACTAGCAGAGAAGGCACTATCGGCATAAGACCTGTAATAATTTCAAAAAACATCCCCCATATATTTGCACATTTACTGGGTAGTCCCAGGACTCCTCTGTATGTATGTCTGTACCTCTGCATTTACTATTTTTTGGAAGCAGTCAAACGGCCAGGCTTTGCCCGCCAGCAGGAGCTAATCCAGCCTGGGAATGTGACTGGCTGTGCTGACATACAGAGGCTCATGGCTTCTCAGGTGAAGACAAGGAAGAGTGAGGGCTGAAAGGGGCTGGCACTGCTGCTGCTCTGCCGGAGAGCCCTGGCTAGGCAGGGGACGGCACCCACTGCGCTGCAGGCTCTTTCTCCTACCGGTAGTGGATCAAGGGTTGGACTTGATGATCTCAAAGGTCCCTTCCAACCCAGCTGCTTCTATGATTCTATGATTCTAGAACTGTGCAGCACTTTTTAACAAGGAATGACAACATGTGGGAAAACAGAGGGGTTTTGTTCTGCTGCATTTCTGTCTGCACTCAGGCCACCTTCAGCAGAGAGCTCTGGCTCCCGAGTGGTGGGAGGCGTGGGGCACTTGGCTGGGCTGCACAGGCACAGCAGTTCCAGGCAGCACTTCTGCTCACTCCTCCATCACTGAAAACTTCAGGAAAATAAAACTCTCTCACATTGTAATTAGATTGTAATTCTAATTGTAATTAGAAAGCAGGCATTACTTTATTTTGGCATCGGGTGTGGGGGATCACTCCTCCCAACACATGCACACCCAGGCATCTAAAACACTAGTTTATATCTATGTCACTAACACATATTCACTGTATTTCCTGAAACTCATGCATATATGCTGAGCATTCTCACAAATTGTTTTATATATTTAAATTACTTCTCAGTTACATTAGAGTAAGGGTCTCTTGAGAGCTTCTGGTGGTCATTTGGGGAACATCTCATCCCTTAAATTATCCTTTTATGGTCACAAGGCTCCTAAAAACAGTTTCTTCTCCTTGAATGCATTTCAACCATGTGGTCTGGCCAAGATGTACCTTCTTATCAGGTCTACAGTCTCAAGGCTGAGATACCCACTTCCACACATTAATCACTGATGTCGGTGAATACAGGTGTATGTCATTCTAGAAGCTATGGCACCTCTGGAAATCTTTGCCACATTTCCCACTGGCAATGTTTTCTCTTCCAAGTCTTCAGCCAGCATCCAATCATGGCCCTGTTGCAGTTGTACTTTGGACTGTGGCCACTCAGGTCCTGAAGATGTCTAGGATGAGGGTTCTTGCAACCTCTCTGGGCACCCCACTCCAGTGCTTCATGATCTCACAAGGGTTTTGATTCCTAAAGCTCTCTAGTTCCAGGAGATGCCACTGTCTCACCCTCCCACCAGGAAGTGCAAAGAAGCACCTGTCCCCACCCCCTTGATGCCTTCCCCAGAGGCACCGGGGTGTGCTCTGAGGTGCCCTGATATTTTCTCTGCTCCATACTAAACCAGCAACCTCAATACTAAACCTCAAATCCCTGCCTTCCTCTCCTGAGGTCCTCTAGTTTGTCAACCAGTCTCTGGGACCCCAAAGAGGATGTAGTGCCCGGATGAGATCTGATGGATGCTGAGCAGAGGACATCACCCTTGAGCCTTCTGTCTGGGGGAGAAAAACAACTGACTCTCAGTGCGAGGAACCAGGGGAGCCCAAAGGGCTGGCCAGCAGCGCTGGGGCAAGGCGAGAGCCTGGGGGACTTTGTGCTGCAGCCTGCCAGGGAAGCATGAGGTGTTATCCAATGAACCTTCTTGCCACATGTGCCTAGAAACATCTCCCCCCAGCTAAAGGCGTCCCTGGCAACACACAGACAAGGCCTCAGTGACTGTTATGAAACACAGGAGAAGAGATGGGGAGGGGGCAGTGGTGCTGGGGTAACTCCAGACCACAGAGCTGCTGAGGAGAGCACAGTGGGTGAGGATGCCCACTGTGATATCATCTAGCAATGGCTGTGACATTTCCAAGCAATGGATTGTGACCCAGCATCCCTCGCTGTTTATAACCATGCATTGAGCTTCACCCAGCCAGCTCATGCTGGGACGCCAGCTGAGCGAGTTTGTGAGGTCTGGAGCGGTGAGCAACACCTTTGGTTGGCGCTGTGCTCAGGGAATTGCTCCTTGAAGCTCTCAGTACTGGCCCCAACACGGATTTTTCCCTGGCCCTGCCCAGGCAGGCAGGGCACCCAGGGGGCAGGCTCACAGCCATAGAGCTGAGCTGGGTGGGTACAGCTCACCCTGGGGCCCTTGGAGGGTTTCTTCCTTGAGGAACCTGGGCATTTCTTCCACCACTCCTTGGGTCAGCTGTGGCAGTGGCAGTGAGAGAGCTGGACATCCCCAGCTTCACCCAGCCTAGCCCAGTGAGTGGAGAGCATGGCCATGGAGCTGGAAAACCGCTGCCCCATCTGCCTGGACATCTGTGAGGAGCCAAGCTATGTGCTGCCATGCCTCCACCAGTTCTGCTACCCCTGCATTCAGCGGTGGGCTGAGAGCAAGCCCGAGTGCCCCCTCTGCAAGAGGAGGATCCTCTCCATTGTGCACTTGGTGCGGGCGGATGACAACTTTGAAGAATATGTCCTCCCATCACCTGCAGCACCATCAGTTGTTGGCCACCAGGAAGGAGGTCCTTCTGGATATCCAGCTGCCCAGAGACCTGCAGCAGTAGCACAACAGTATGTAGAGAACCAGCTGTCAAGGGCTCTTCCGGGTGGCCTTGAACCACGCACCTGGGCAGTTGTTTTCAGGGACCACCCACCTCTCCTCCAGTCCCTGCAGCCCGGGGTGCGTCAGGAGCTGCAGATGATCTTTGGGAACCAGCATGCACGGGCATCCATACTGGAGGACATTGTAATGTCCATCCTGGGCCTCTTTGGGCTGAATGAAGAATTCCTGGTCCAGCTGCTGGAGCCCTTCCTCCAAACCCATGAAGCCACATTTGTGCAGCAGCTAATTGATGTTGCTGTGCAACAGTGCAGTGTGGAAGCCCAACGTCTGCTGGGCCTGGAGGACGACCACACTGCTGAGGAGCAGGAGGGCAGCCCAAGAGCTGCCCCCAGCCCCTCTAGCTCCCAAGGACAGTCTCCCACACGTGGCCCAGCCCCCTCCGGCAGCCCTGCTGGAGCTGACGAAGAGGAGCACCCATGCCCCAGCATCTCAACTGCTGCTCTTTGTGGGGGTCCCAGCAGCACCCCCAGTGCCCCTATTCCCAGCAATGGGGAGCAGGAAGAGCTGCATGAGGATCTGGGGGAGGCTGTGGCGGTAACCTCCACTCCCAGCTGGGACAGAGACCGCTCACCTCAGGGACCATGGCGAGCCCTGAAGAGGAAGGCTGGCAGCTCCCAGGAATCTTCCAAGCTCAACAAGACAAAACGTCGCCAGCAGCCCTAGAAGAACACCTCAGGCAATGTTGAAATTCTGGCCAGGGCAGTAGCTAGGGTATGAGCTGGCCCACAAGACAATCAGAAAGCTCTCAGTAGTCTATAGCTATCAAAGAAATCAAATGCATGAAAGCTGCAGAGAGTCTTGGTGTTACTAACAGTGCCATTGGCATTGCAATCCCCACCCACGCTTCCTCCCCCTTTTCCTGGTGCTAGCTCTCTGTTTCCTCACATCTGCTGGCCCCTGTGGGGTCAGTGTGGTGGAAGAAGGGGTATGGTGATGCAGCCCCTGGCTATTTGGGGTGGGATGTTAATGCTGACAGGTCCTGCTACATATACCAGGTACTATTTCGCCATAGCCCTGTCCTAGTTAGAACAGCTGGGACCAGTTCATCACTGTATGGGTGTAACCCAAAACTGTATATTCTATAGTCTTCCATGCCATTACCCAGAAACTGTTATCAATAGACCATTTACACCATCTGCCCAGAGCACGCCTGACTCCTCAGGCTATAAACTGGGTGTTTAAGAGGCCTGTGAGACAGGAGGGTGCTCTTGTCCTCACATCGACTGTGTGGAACTCCCCACCCTGAGGGGATACTGGGCATTCCTGCCTGAACTGGAGGATATATGTAATCTTGGAGTCTTGAAACTTTTTTAACCACTCATGGGATCTAGAGAAGGACTGTGACCACCACTCTCAACCAGACTGAGAACACCACTCTCGACCAGACTGCAACCACCACTTTTCAACCAGACTGCAACAGCACTCTCACCAACCGGTTTTTCCCTCTCCTTTTACTTTGGACTCAGGGGGCCCAAAGTATACATTTGGGTTTTGTGGGTTAAAACCAATTGTTTGTCTGTATAATCGTATTTATTGTATTATTTTATTAAATTGTTATTCTGACTTATAATCTTTCTTTTGAGTTGGGTTCATTTCCCCTGCCAGTTTACCTTTAAACCAGCACAAGCCCAAAGACATGTGCTGCCCAGCTTTAGGCCTGCATCTCTGTAGATGGTCCCAGAACAGGTGTTTCCAGCTGGGGGTCTCCAGGGCCAGCCTGTGCCCCACTGCTCATCACCCCAGGTCTGGCCTCCTCCTCACTGCCTCCTCTGCCCCATGTCCCAGGGCTCTGCTCTCCTACCAGCCTGCACTGCCTGGTGCAGCCTTTCTACGTTGGGGCCCAAATCCCTCCTTCTGCCCCGAGTCACGACTTGGTGCTGCTCTCTGCATCACCCCACGGTTGTGCCGCTCAGTGGACAGAGGTATTGGGGATCCACTAGGATCCCTCACTGGTGACACTGGGAGGAATGATGTTGCACAGGGCAGAGGGTCCCACCTCTGCCACACTCAGAGTGCTGGTGCTGGGTGGCAGCTGCGCAGTGGCCCTTTCTACAGCAGGGCTGCTCTCCAAGCACAGCCTGGTTCTTGTGGGCTGATACCAAGCAAGGATGCTTCACCTGGCAGTAGAGGATTACTTTGCCACTCAACAGATGAGTTTTGGAAGGAAAGGCAACCTTCTGCTCTGGCTGAGCTGTGCTCATTTTCCCAAGTGTGGCCAGGCAGGTGTGGCACCATGAGGGATGATGTCCTGGATGGGCAAGGACACCAGTTGGGCAGCGGCCACCAGACACAGTTCTGCAGGAACAGAGAGCCTCCACTGCTGCCCACAGCTTGGAGAAGGGCAGGGTGAAGGCTGGGACAGGCTGTCCTGTTGACACACAAGCTCTCAGGAGCCTCTGAGCTAGAGCCATGGTTCCAGTGCTGCCGAAAAACCTCAGAATGATAACTGCTCAGAGAATTTTGCATCTATAAGCAGCAAGGTATTTGTTTATTCAACGTTGGGAGCAAGCCAGCTCACGCTGAACAAGCTTGCTCTACCTGAATGTGCAAAAGGAAGCCATTTTATACACTTTAGATACATGGTTACATCATCTAACATACATATTAATAAGTAGGCTAGTCTCTGGGCGCAGGCTTTCCAGAATCTTTTTGGACATGCTCAGTCTTCTACTGTGGGGGTCTTCTCCTCAAGCCTTCATCCCTCTGGTGGTCGCCATGGACGTCTTCCTCAATTTGACCTCTTCAAGTTAGGTGACCTGAATTCTTCAAGCTTGCAGAATCCTGGCTCTGGGCCTTCTATATCTCCTTCAAACATCTAGTTTACCTAATTTATTACCTTGTGGTCTACTCCCTAGCATTCTTTCTATGATGGGTGACCTGAATTCTTCAAGCTTGCAGAATCCTGGCTCTGGGCCTTCTAGGTCTTATTCAGATGTCCGGTTTACCTAATTTATTACTTTGTGTATACTACTCCTTTCTATAATAAGGACTTTGGTCCAGTGAGCAGAATAGAACATGATATTAACCAGTGCTCCTAAAATGTTCTTCTAGCAAAACAGGTAGATTAAACAGGACATGGTTTACCAACTGAACCATTGTTAACTCTTTTTTGTGCCTTTTTGCCGGCTCCCTGCCTGTCCTACCACATTGCTCAGCATGGCACTGAAGCCAGGGCTGGGCAGGCTGTGGGAGCACTGGCCTGGTGGTATCCACTGACAGCTTCTGCTCTCTTTTCCTTTGTAGCAGGAGGGCCCGGCAGCAGCAGCAGGAGGAAGAGGTGGCTGCCCTGGCCCTTTGCTCTGCTGTGGGGAGCATCTGTCGCTGCCCAGGTGCCAGAGCAGGCGGGCCCCAGCTGCAGCAGGGTGCTCTTGACGCAGCCCCCCCAGGCCTCTGCAGGGAGGATGGCATGCTGCCCCAGCCTATCCAGGTTAAGGCATCCTGGACAGGGGGTTCCCACTGCTCCCTCCAGCTGCTCCAGGGGCTCTGAGGATGGTGGATTGGGCTCTACACGCATGGCTCAGGCTTCTGGTCCCAGCTCCTGTGTGGGAAGAGGAAGCCCACTCGGGGGCAGAGCTCTGGTCCCAGCCACTGTTGTTGGAAGGCAGCTCCTCAGACAAGTCACTGCTCTCCTGCATCTCCTGCAGGAGCTGATGGCTGTCCTGCACCAGCAAGGACCCACAATACAGGGCACATTCAGAAGAGCTGAGAGCATGAGAGCCCTTCAGGAGCTGTGGGAGGCCGTAGATCACAGCATGGACGTTGACATGGGAAGCCAGTCTGCACTGCTGCTGGCCATCATCCTGAAAATACGTACATCTAACCTGCAGTTGGAAGAGCTCCTGGATAGGCTGGAATCTTCAAAGGCTCACCAGCAGCCCTTGGCATCACAAATCTTCCTCTGAAGCATCCCTCCAAGCACCTTGTCATGGACTGGACGGCAGAGGTGTAGATGGCCAGAAGGGAGGAGATGTGTGACCTGAAGGCGTAACCATGGGCAGCAGCCAGCCCCTTGAGCAGGGCCTGTGGAAACCGGGACTTGCCTCAAAGGGGTCAGTCTACTTCAATGCTGCTTTTTGGCAGGTTACTGTTGCTGGGTTGGGGTCAGATTTTGGGGGAATGGATAGGGAGTCTTCCCTTATGTGGGCTTGGCTGAAACCAGGAGCTGTGAAGCGATGACAGGCTTCCTTCCTCAAGTGCAGGAGCCCTAACCACTGGCTCAAGAGCACCTGCAATGCTCTGCAACACAGCTGCTGGCTGTCTCCTGTGTTGTGCCAGCTTTGAAGGCGGCTGCTTGATGAATGTTGCCTTCCTGTTCCAAAGAAGTTGCCCACAGCAAAGCTCCTCCTCCTCAGGCAGCTGCTCACACTGCTGCGATGTATCAGCCAGCATGTGTCCAATAGCAGAATGACCTGCAGCAACCCAGCCATCTGCCTTGGACAAACTTGCTGAACCCACCCAAGGAGGACCTGCTCGTGCTCGAGGTTGTCCTGGTGCAGACCAAAAAGGTAATGGTGTCTGGAGCAGTCGGCTGCAGACTCCCCAGCCCATCCTAGCTTGGCTGCCCAGAGGCCTATGGCTGTCCCTTTTCTCCAACAAATCCTGGTTGGCAGGGGTAACTGCCTGGAAGAGCCAGCTCTACAGCCACAGCTGTACAGCTCTACAGCTTTCTGTGCAGAGCCAAGACTCAGGAGTGATGGGAAAGGCTGCTTGACACGCTTTCAGGCACCTAGGCTGAGACCAGGGCCTTGAGGTGTGCAGGTGAAGGTGCTTCTGGAGTTTATGACACAAAACTTTGAAGACATCTTTAGGGAAGAGATGGCTGGCCTGGAGGAGCCACCAGCACCCATAGACAGATCCACAGGTACGTGTAGGAACAAAGGGTTGCCACAGCCTGGGACCTGGGATAGCAGGAATCTCAATATCAAAAAGACAACTGGTGAAGGGCTTGGTTGGGTTTTGCTTTACGTATTCTTGTCTTCCAAGGAGTCACTTGGCTGCACACATCTGTGCTTTCTGTGCCCGTGTTTGGAAGAGCAAAGTTGCCCTGTGAGCAGAACAGACAAGTACCATCAGAAAAAGCCCTGTCTGGATGCATCCCCCTCTCTGCCAGTCATCCTTGTTATAAGTAAACCAAGGAAATTTGCTGTTCAAGGAGTAGATTATTCAAGTTGTTATGTTGTTAAGAGTTGTGGGTAAAGTGATTATAGAATCCTTAACCACAATTTTGATTGTTGCAGAACACAGCGCAGAGTAATTCAGTGTTTTTGAAGTTGTTTGTTATAGGCATGCTGATGTGAACTAATGTAGGAGGAGCAAGCCATGAGGAGTCTGGTGATTAGATGACATCACCCCATGGAAAGTTCCTGAACTACAATCTCATAGAGACTAATGGCTCCGATATCATTGGTGGAAACTCCTCGACAACAACAACGCCCACCCCTTAGCAACACCAATCACAAATTTGCCCGCGAGAAGGGAACCAAACAAGGAGCAGCTTGCAAAATCCAACCGATGGACTATTGACATGACTTGGGGGGGTGGTGCCAACCGAGGGGATAATTGTTGTTGTTTTCGGTTCTCCCTTTTGCTGACTGTGGTGGAGCAAGGGTTTCCCCCGGTCGCCCGGCTAGCCGCTTTTGCTTGTTAGCTTTAATAAACTTGTTTTGATTTACCTTGCAACCGAAATTATAGCCTCATTATCTATCACAATCCTCAAAGATGGGCAGATACAGTGATGGAGGTGAAAAGGCAGAGGTATGTCAGCTCCACAAACAC